AGAGAGAGACAGAGAGAGATTGAGAATCCGAAGCAGGCTCTGCACTGTCAGCACAGAGCCTGATGTGGGGTTCAACCCATGAACCATGAGATGATCACCTGAGCCAAAGTCGGATGCTTAACCAGCTGAGCCACCCACGTGCCTCTATGAAGTAGAAGTGTAAAAAATACCATAAAAGGGTTAAGAAGGCCAATATTGTGCCATTAAGTAAATTAAGAGCTGAGAGTCCACCCTTTATAAAACTAAAGTGAAATCCCTTTAGTTAACACAAAATCATGTGGCAGGAAAAAAAACAAAAACAAACAAACAAACAAAAAACATTGCAGGAGCAACTGGGTGACTCAGTTGGTTAAGCATCAGACTCTTGACCTCAGCTCGGGTCTTGATCTCAGAGTCATGAGTTCACGTCCAGCATTGGACTCCACACCGAACATGGAACCTACTTAAAAATAAACACTGCAAATGACATGAGTCAACATCATCAAGGGATATGAATTCTGCTATACCCTGTTCTTCATGTTGCCCAGTCAGAATAATTGCTTTCTACCTAACTGGTGATGTGTTGATATTTTTCATTATATAATTATAAATTAATCTTCTTCTTCTGAAGTTAATCTTCCTGACTTGAATAATTATTACCACTGTAGAACCATACTAAGGTTTAAAAGAAAACTACTGCACCTTTTTAATTTATCCTCTGCATGTATATTTGCTGCCTTTTCTACCAGAACTTCCACTATTTGCTGTTTGTTTTCATTTACAGCAACTAGAAGTGGTGTGATGTTATCCTGTAAAAGAGCAAAAACAACTTAGAATTTACAAAATTATACCTTTCCATACGGAATTTTAAAACATACAAAAGATCCTCTAAACTTAAACATATAATACAAAAAGTAAATAATAAATGGCCTCTTCCTTCCCACCACTGTGCTTTCACCTGCTGCTGCTTCTCTTTAAAATAGCCCTCCTCCACTGGGGCACCTGGGTGGCTCAGTTGGTTAAGTGACCAACTGCAGCTCAGGTCATGAGCTCAGGGTTTGTGAGTTCGATCCCTGCATTGTGCTCTATGCTGGCAGCGCACAGCCTGGAGCCTGTTCCAGATTCTCTCTCTCTGTCTCTCTCTCTCTCTC